TCTAGTTTGATGCGCGTTTCGTCCTATTTGGGACTCGTCAGTTGGATGTACCTATATCTCAGAGTTAATGTTCACTCTGGGACTCAAACCCAGTGCCATTCGCTTCAAACGCCATCGCGTTATTCATTCAGCTACTGAGTACTGATAGCCACTTGCTTGTGCACTGCTAGCCACTATCCATCATTGCTTACACTACAAAATGCTTGTGAATTAAGGCAATATCGAGGCATACGCACAGTATGCACATATGCCAATAGCAGACTGATCAATTTCAGTCCTAAACATCAATGGGAAGATTCAAGTTAAACAACACGAAGTGAATTAATAATAATAATAATAATAATAATAATAATAATAATAATAATAATAATAGTTTACATTAAAATGTGTTCTTTCCACACACACACACACACGCACGCAAAAACATAAAAGCTACTTAATAATAAATGTTTATATTTTGATGGAGTTTTGTCCTCTAAGCTAGATGATTTGCTTGTGAAGCTTTTGTCATTCACCTGAGCGATATCATCAGGAGCAGCACAAACTTCATGTAAAAGTGAAGTGTTTTAAGTTTTCCACACGTGGTTCATAGCTTGTCTAATTTATTTGTTATATATTTACTGGAACACATATATATTGGTATAAAGGGGGCACCAAATATATATGAGCTACACCTTGTCCTATGAATCTTCTTCACTAACTCAATTGTTTATATTTACTACTATCGGAAAGGTTTTTTTTTCTAACGAATATGATTGATGTGAATAGAGTAATGTGAAAACAAAGTGCACCATGAATCATACATAATAACACTATTTTAATGAAAATTCATTTTGTGTATCTATGTGCGTGTGTGTGTGTGTGTAACATTGAAAATCCAAAAATGAGAGACTTATTTGGTAGTGTAGTGAACGAGAACATAACTGGAGACAATCAGATGTATTCGAACACAAAATTACAGAACATCTTAGTAAAATCTGAGAATCATACAGTGAATACTTCATTTGTAAAATGTTAATCAATCGTCTCAGAATTCATTGGTTTCTTTGTTTCCATACCAGTCATTCTCTATTCTCATTCTGTTTTTATCGATCCTCTTAAGCTTTTACTGTCAGGTATTCCATTTTCGACTGATGATACATACTACTTATATCTATCAACATCAACAGCACACACCATAGTAGTATTGTTTTCATCTAAATACATGCATTGTCAATCTCTTCTCTTTCATTCTATTTCACTTTGACATCTTATCACATTAGGTGTCTTTATACAAGATTCAATAAGCTTGCTTTATTTTGGTCGAAATGAGCACAAATTTTGCCTATTTTAATTTATGGCTGCGATATGCGGTCTTTAAAAGTAGTAGACATTTGTCGGTTAATGTAATTTGATCATCGAAGTTTACAAATTTATCTTTACATAACGAAGAAAGACCAAGTACAGAATGGTTGGGTTAGAATCAAAGTACTAAAAAAATCTCATAAATCAATTGATGAAGCTTTCAGTCTTCCTTCATTAAAGTGGTTGGGTTATGTGTTACAGATGACCAATTATCCCCTACACTAATATGAAATTTTCATTGACATAGGAGTAGGTTAGAAAAAAGCTAAGAGCGGCCAAATAAAGACATGACATAATCCCAGGAACTCATTGACAATTGAACTGAGCAATGTTGTTAGGTGCAGAATACGTGGTTGAGATATTGTGATTATCGTAACCAATGGTTCGAAAACATTTGATGCATTGTCAATAATAGTGGCAGAAGGATTTCAATAAATCGAGTACCTCTTTTAAACATTTGGTCTTCAAGATTTGTTAAGGGAGACATCTTCTGAATGTGAATTCAGTAATGATTCTATATTTAGTTTTTAATTCAGAAAATTACTTACTTACGCCTGTTACTCCTCGTGAAGGAGCATAGGCCGCTCACCAGCATTCTCCATCCAACCCTGTCCCAACCAATCCTTAACTATAACTAATGTGAAAATTTAATTCATTTGAAATAGGTTCGTCTAATTGATGATGTGTACTTTACAAGAATAATCCAGTTCAGTTAGTTAAAAAAACTGTTATACCCTAGTGAAGATTAAATGATGGTTGACTTCTGAGATCGATTCATGGACTAATACCATAGAAGATATATATTCTTATTGTATAACTATTCAGTAACTAGATTATGTATATCTACATGCCTCTTATTATAAGCTTCTATTTGACCTATTGACTATAATCATACGATTTATTATTCTTAAATTATGCCGAGTTTATTAGTTACCGTCTGCCTCAATCACAGACACTTTTATGGCTTGATCTTGTATAAATGTCTATTTCCTACTTTTATGGTGTGATACGGTCTATTTGGCTGATATATAATCCAGGTATGTTTAAAATAATTGTTTCGTATCATGGATGTCGGTATTGACGTTCTGAACTCAGCTGGCAGAGCTAGGTAGACAGGGTCCAGTAAAGATGCTAGGCTACTCATACTGGTCGAACATCATTGATTTGGCACAGTGTTAAGATAGTATAAATCGTGTTCTGATTGACGAATAAGTCATATGGTAATCTTCCCGGTTTAAAGTCACAACATAAACTATTGAATAGAGGAAGAACAAAAAGGAACTTGAATAAAAATAAATAACATGAATACATTTCATTTGATTCGTTTTTTTTTTAATCAACTACTTATAAGCCTATAATATTCTCAAATTAGAAATTATTGTCCCGTTTGCATACATAATAACAGTTAAATTGGGTGTGCATATCCTTATGATAACTCCATCTGGAGCCCCTCTGAGGCTATTGTCGGTCCCAAGCCTGAGGAGAGGAGGAGGGTTGGGCATGGGGTTAGTGACTCCATCCCGTAGAAAACGAACTGGCTTAAAAAACCCTAACCAGAAAAAATAATTCATATCATCATGATGGAGTAAGTAACGGTTTAAATAAAGGTAATGAAATAAGAAAAACAAATATAGGGTTTTAAATGAATATAATATATGAGAGAAAATGACCAGATATAGTAAAGAGAGATTATAGAGCTGAAATAATTGATTGATTATGTAATTAAATAATTGATTTTATCAGTTTAGGGGTTGTGGAGATTGTTAAGTTTTTGTTTGAGATGATGAACCGATTAGTGTTAGACCAACATTGAAAACCTGGAAGCAGTGGAAGGCCGTTACGTCCTATTGTGGGACTCCTTAAAAATGCTTAACCACGATCCTGCCTAGCGGGATTCAAATCCAGGGCCTTCAGTCTCGCGCGAGAACGTTTAACCTACTGGACCACTGGGCCGGCACCTAATAGTGTTAATGTCTAACTTCAACTAATCCACGAAATCGCGCGTCCATCTCTTTTACTGAGGTAGATACCTGCCTCTACCCAACACGCATTAGCTCCACTATTCATGGCTTCTCACTAGAACTTCGAAAATTTTTCTCACGAAGTTAGTTACTAATGAGCACATGGTGATTATCAGTTTAGGGGTCGTGGAAATCGTTAAGTTTTTGATTGAGATCATGAACCGACTGATTTTAAATGAATGGTAATTAAGAATAAGATGAATTTTAATTTCAACAATTTAGATGACTCTCGCGATCTCTCATATTGTACGAGTATTCCATGTACCTCTTGTTGTTAGAAAGGGCATCAGCCTCGTAAATTCCGAAGGAACTCGGCTTTCACCATGAGTCGTGATAACTCTTTTAAATGAAGACATTCTAACTTCCAGGGTAGAGATTAAATGGTTTGAATTATTTTTTTCTGGTTAACGTGTTTTTGCGAGTTAGTTTTCTACAGAATAAAGTCGCTAACTCCATGCCCAACCCTTCTCCTTTATCCGGGCTTGGCACCGACAGTAGCCTCAGAGGGGCTCCAAGCGTAGTTGAGACTAGTCAATTAAAATACAATTATAAATTTAAAAGGGGTGATACAATTACAGAAAAAGGGAAGAAGTTAAAAAAGTGATGTAATAAACTGATGATAAATTCACTCTTGTAAGGAAATATTTGCAATTGTTTCCTTTTTGGATACATAAGTTTGGCTTAAGGCGTTTGATGGCCATGATTTTGGCAAATTTGTGAAGAATGTAATCTGACTATTGATTGTTAATTTTGAAAGATATCAGTCTATTAACATGATGACTTGTGTCACAAAAATGTTTTACAATAGCATTTCTAACTAGAAGTCTTTCATCTCATTGACCTGATACTTTTCAGCATGTTTTTAGAATAGAGCATTCGTTGTACTTTATGTTCTACCAAAGGATTTTATGAAGATTGTAGTAATTTCGACAGTTGAAATCATGAGTCAATTGAAGCTAGACCATCATAGGAAAACCTGGAAGCACTGGGTTTGAATCCCGCGAGAGGTGGGGTCATGGATGCGCACTGATACGGAGGAGTCCCATACTAGGACGAAACGACCGTCCAGTGCTTCCAGGTTTCCCATGGTGGTCTAGCTTCAAATGACTAATGATTTCAACTGTTGATATGATTAATTATTACCTTTTGAGATGGTGGAGAAAATTTGTTTCTCAAATGAATGATTTTGATGAAATTTTGTTCTCTGAACTGGATGATTTGGTCATGGAGATTTCATCGTTCTTCTTTACTTCTACCTGTTGATGACATCGTTCAGAAGAAGAACGATGGAAGCTTCACGACGAAATCATCCATTTCAGAAAATTAAACTCCATCAAAATTATTATCTCTTTTCCCTTATGTTCATTCATTATGAGTATATAACAAAGTATATACATTTAATGATATTTAGTATGATTCATTTATTCATTCATAATTCTTTCAGTCTGTAACTTGTAAGTTAAGTCTATTGTGATCAGAGTGTTTGAAATGGAATACTCACATATAGATTATATTTCAACTTTTATATTATTCATTCACCCGAATGAATGCTGATGAAATGAATGTTTGATTGAATTAATAACATAAATTATTCAGGAGAATTAGACATTGAAACATTCAGTAGTATAATAAAATATGGTGAATTTACGATATTAGAAAGATAGATGATGTAGGATGATGATGATGATGATGATGATAATGATGATGATGATGATGATGATGATGATGATGATGATGATGATGATGATGATGATGATGATGATGATGATGATGATGATGATGATGATGATGATGATGATGATGATGATGATGATGATGATGATGATGATGATGATGATGATGATGATGATGATGATGATGATGATGATGATGATGATGATGATGATGATGATGATGATGATGATGATGATGATGATGATGATGATGATGATGATGATGATGATGATGATGATGATGATGATGATGATGATGATGATGATGATGATGATGATGATGATGATGATGATGATGATGATGATGATGATGATGATGATGATGATGATGATGATGATGATGATGATGATGATGATGATGATGATGATGATGATGATGATGATGATGATGATGATGATGATGATGATGATGATGATGATGATGATGATGATGATGATGATGATGATGATGATGATGATGATGATGATGATGATGATGATGATGATGATGATGATGATGATGATGATGATGATGATGATGATGATGATGATGATGATGATGATGATGATGATGATGATGATGATGATTTGGATGATGATGATGATGATGATGATGATGATTTGGATGATGATGATGATGATGATGATGATGATGATGATGATGATGATTATGATGATTATGATGATAATGTAAACGTAACCAATATGATCTGAGGTTTAATACTATTGAATAGACAACACCATAGAAATAACAGCATTTAGATAAGTACCAATCGGTAAATAAAGACGGGGATGTAAGATACTATTAATTGATGTGATTCAAAACATATGTTATACATAATTACTTATCATTGTTTCCAATGCATTATACTGGATACTATATGATTGAGTCTAAGGAAAAATATGATAGCAATTCATGAAGTCGATCAATGAAAGCCGTGTGGATGGGTTAGCGTATTGTTTAACGAGTTAGTTTTCTACAGGATAGGGTCACAAGGTGTACCAGTAATCTTGAAGGAGCTGATGCTCCCTGACGGGTTCGATCACATGTCATCCGGCTTCACAGTTAGAGACGTTACCACTGAGTTATCAGGGCCACGACTGACCTCCTGTAGGACAATAATTTTAATCTATAGTTGGAAAGATACGGTTAATTTCCCAAAACGGGTAATTATAGTATCGATGTATTCACTAGTTCTCTTGTTCCAAGTTTTTAGTTTTAATATTCATTATTCTGTCTCTGGACTTCAATTTTTCTATAAGAACCTCATTTTCTCTGTATTATTATTACTAAGCGCTTGGATTATCTTGCTATAAATATTCAAAAATGAATTATATGCGGGTACAATCAGCGGATTGCCATAAGTCTCAATGAAGTTGGCTTGTGATTAAGAGGGGGATCCAGCACGAAAGTTTCGTCCTATTAAGAAGTTGTTAGCCAGATCTATGTTTTATCCTACTGTTCGTTGATTACATTAGTTATTGAACATTAACAGCAAGATGATTTAGAGTTTAACTAATAGTGATATGACCATCATGCTCATTGAAAAAGTTAGTGGTTATCCGAAGTAACCAGCTCAATGGGACCACATTGGTTTTTGTAGCGTAAGGCATCAGGTTCGAGTCTGATGTGGTCATCACCAAGAGGATTCAGGTATACTTAACTGATAAGTTCATAGCTAATAAATGTTCACTATCTTTTATACTACCATTATACTTTTAACTTATTGTCTTTTCTCTCACTATACTAATGTGACTAAGTAAGTCAATCTAGTTCTATGTTCATTCCTATCGTCATTTATGACTAAGGGAATTTTTACTTCTATTTATTTAAAAATTTTAACCACACAAATTGCAAAGTCTTAAAAACAAAACTGTGATTAAATTCACATGATGTTGTTTACTTTTATCTTCCTATTGATGCTTAGGACTGCAATTGAACAGTCTCTCATTGGATTATGCGCATCCTATGTGGACTGCCTCGATATTGCCTGAAGTCCCAAGCATTATAAGCGAAGATGGATAGCGGCTAGCAGTGGAATCTAGTTTGACGCGTTTCGTCATATTCGGGACTCATCAGCTGGATGTATATGCATCTCGGAGTTTATGTTCATTCTCGGACTCTGACCCAGTATAAGCACAAGCCAGTAGCTATCAGGAATCAGTAGCTAAGTGGATAACACGATAGCTTTAGAAGTGAACGGTACTGGGTTCGGGTCTCGGAGTGAACATCAACCGATGAATTCATCTATTAAAAATATTACAATTTCCTCAAAAACCCTTTTCTGATAATAAATACGAAATAATTATTTCTAATGACGTCAACATCTGAAGCGAAGCACGAGATGCAGTGGACAGCTACAATGCAGTTAAACGATCTACACTTCGCAAATAATCTGACTCCTCTATCGCACACTCAACAACAAATTCAGGAGAAGACGACCAGTGTAGCAGCAGCCTTAACAGCAGTAGGTCTCAATATACACAAAGGGAAAAGCAAGATTCTCCGAAACAACACAGCATGTAACAATCGAATCACACTTGACGGGGAAGATTTGGAGGATGCAAAAACATTTACATATCTGGGCAGCATCAATGATGAATAAGGTGGATCTGATGCATATGTGAAGGTGCGGATTGGCAAAGTAAGAGCAGCATATCTACAATTAAAGAATATCTGGAGCTCAAAACAACTGTCTGTCAACTAACACCAAAGTCAGAATTTTCAATACAAATGTGAAGACAGTTCTACTGTATGGGGCGGAAACCTGGAGAACTACAAAAGCCATCATCCAAAAGATACAAGTGTTTATTAACAGTTGTCTCTGCAAAATACTTGGGATCCGTTTACCCAGACACTATCAGCAACAACCAACTGTGGGACAGAACAAACCAGATCTTAGTGGAGAAAGAATTCAGGAAGAAGTGCCGGGAATGAATAGGACACACATTGAGGAAAGCACTCAACTGAATCACAAGGCTAGCCCTCACATTGAATCCTCGAGGTCAAGGGAGAAGAGGAAGACGAATGAACACATTACGCCGGGAAATGGAGATAGATATGAGAAGAATTGTATAGAACTGGAAAAGAAGGCCTAGGACAGAGTGGGTTGGAGAATGCTGGTCAGTGGCCTATGCTCCATTAGGAGTAACAGGCGTAGGTAAGTAAGTAATTAATTCTAAATTAAAGATAAATCAGTTATGAAGAGAAAGCATTATTTAACTAATTTACTGTTTGTCTTACATAGTTATTCAATATTGTTTTTATTCCACTCTGTTTCAACAATGTCATTTAAATAGCTGAATTCATGAGTCAATTGAAGCTAGACGACCATGGAAAACCTGGAAGCATTGGACGACTGTTTCGTCCTAGTACAGGACTCCTCAGCAGTGCGCATTCACGATAACGTCCCCTGCGAGATTAAAACCTAGTACCTATCAGTCTCGGGTGAGAGTGAGCGCTTAGCCGTTAGATCACTGAGCCGGCCGTCCGCCATCCAGTGGTGTTAATTTCTAACTTCAGCCAATCCACGAAATAGCGCCACCATACACCATTGTCTTCAGTGAGCTGATATTTCACAACAGACCCGGGTGAACTTCACTGGTAACGGCCTCTCATTAGAACTCCAGGTAATAGCTCTTGAAGTTAGTCACTGGTGAGCAGATTAGCATTATCAAAATGGGTTTTTGTGGAGATTTTAAAAATTTCAATAGTGTTATTTAACTAAACAATATTGAAGATTGAATACATTTGTTTTATACTACTTATATCACTTAGTAGTATATTGTTTATAATATTCATTTCCTCAATTGAAATATTCTAAAAATTTCAATAAAATAATTGATAATGATTTAAAAGTATGATCAATTATAGAAGAAGAACATTGGATATTATTACATTCCTCATTATATATTGTACTCCATCAGGTTCAATCAGTCTTTCAAATAATTGATTTGTTTCAATAAACGATTGTAGATAGTGAATGCGTACTACTGAGGAGTCCTGTACTACAACGAAACGGTCTTCCAATGCTTCCAGGTTTATCATGGTGGTCTAGCTTCAATTGACTCATGATATCCACTATTGAGATTGTAGAGTTTGTTAAGCTTAAATTGATATCATTAATTGATCAATGTTGATCTGATATTAATCTATTATTTATGAAATGATTCCATTTTTCGATACATAATGATTGTTATTGAAATGATAAAAGTTGAATGATCAGGAAAAATAAAGTCAAGCTGAATTAAAACATTCTTAGTTTATTCCTGTGTTAAATAAGCTACAAAGATCTTGATGGAGCTTTGTTCTGTGAGCTGGATAGTTATTTGGTCGTGGAGCTTTCATCGTTCTTCTTTTGAACGATATCATCATCAGCACAAATTTCAGATAGAAGATGTCAATGTGAAATCGTTCCAATTAATCAACAAATCAAGAAAATTATTCACAAATATAGGAACAAAAATTAAACCAATAGAAGATACAACCAAAACAAAGAAGTAAACAATGACAAATTTAAGGTCAGTAAGAACCAATCACCCCACTGAACCCACCCAACATCGAAGCAGCACTCACGGACCTCCCAATTGATGTTGGCGCACCGACAATTGAAGAGATCAGCATGGCTATCAGACAAATCAAGAGTGGCAAAGCAGCAGGACTAGACAGCATTCCAGCAGAGGCACTGAAAGCAGACGTAGCGGCAACTGCAAGGATACTCCAAACTCTCTTCAGAAAGATCTGCGATGAGGAACAGGTACCAAAAGACTGGAAAGAAGGACTTCTAGTCAAAATACCAAAGAAAGGCGATCTCAGCAACTGTGACAACTACAGGGGAATCACTCTTCTTTCAATACCAGGAAAAGTCTTCAACAGGGTATTGTTAAACAGGATGAAGGACTCCGTAGACGCCCAACTTCGAAACCAACAGGCAGGATTCCGTAAGGATAGATCGTGCACAGACCAAATCGCAACTCTACGGATCATTGTGGAACAATCATTTGAATGGAATTCATCACTCTATATCAACTTCATCGACTACGAAAAAGCATTTGATAGCGTGGACAGAACAACCCTATGGAAGCTTCTTCGACACTACAGCGTGCCTCAGAAGATAGTCAATATCATACAGAATTCCTATGATAGATTAAACTGCAAGATCGTTCATGGAGGACAGTTGACAAAGTCGTTCGAAGTAAAGACCGGTGTCAGGCAAGGTTGCTAACTCTCACCCTTTCTCTTTCTCCTGGTGATCGACTGGATCATGAAGACATCAACATCTGAAGGGAAGCACGGGATACAGTGGATAGCTAGGATGCAGTTGGATGATCTAGACTTCGCAGATGATCTGGCTCTTCTATCGCATACGCAACAACAAATGCAGGAGAAGACAACCAGTGTAGCTGCAGCCTCAGCAGCAATAGGTCTCAATCTACACAAAGGGAAAAGCAAGATTCTCCTATACAACACAGCATGCAACAATCCAATCACAATTGACGGAGAAGCTTTGGAAGATGTAAAAACCTTTACATATTTCGGCAGTATCATCGATGAACACGGTGGATCTGATGCAGATGTGAAGGCACGGATTGGCAAAGCAAGAGCAACATATTTGCAACTGAAGAATATCTGGAACTCAAAACAATTGGCAACCAACACCAAAGTCAGAATTTTCAATACAAATGTCAAGACAGTTCTACTGTATGGGGCGGAA